ATTCGATTCAAACATTCGATTATTCAATTCAAACATTCAATTCGAACGTTCAATCTAAACATTCAATTCCAACATTCAATTTGAACATTCAATTCAAACATTCGATTATTCAATTCGAACATTCAATCCAAACATTCGATTCGAACGTTCAAAAACCATTCAGTGAGCGAGGTCAAGAAAAAAATAAAAATGAAAACATAAGAAATAGTAAATTAACACTGGTGTACCACAAATGTACTCCAATAAGGAAGATCCATATTAGGCTCTGCAGATTCGTGCACAACATTTCAACAAATATATCTGAAGCGTGGGCTAATGCTCAGACGGATGAGTGCTTTATTAATCTCCAACAATATCCCATTCAGGGCTGTCACTAATTTTTGAAGTAGGTGGGGATATACAAAAAATAGCCGGGGATTCAAGTTGCTGTAGTGAAGTCAACATGCTGTTTTTAAATCAAAGTAGCTTGGGGTATACCTAAATACAAGGGGAAAATTCCCGGCCCCCGGCCCTAATAACAGCCTTCTCATTTTTTTGACCTGACACTCGCTGAATATGCATCGTTTTTCCATATATTTTTTTATTGCGGGATAACAAAAACGATCCACAATTTTAGCCCCCGAAATTGATAAGTATTCACGACCGATTGGGAACATACTACACCTGTGAGGGAGGAAATTAATTTCAATTTTCGCACGATGTAGGAATCGTGTAAAATCAGCCACGTCAACATGGATTGTACAGTACAAACGTCTGCAGATCACTAGCCAAAAAAAAAACTTAAACGGAAACAATATAGTTCAGAAGTGCAAACTATTGATAGCGATAAATTATCTCTTACCTTATATAAATCGACAGAAAAATCGCTGGAAACGCTGAAAAATTTTGTAATTCACACCATAGTTAATAGAGTTCCCCTCTATTAACCATGGCCACAAGCACAACCTCTGGATATGACTCCTCTCTTTCCCGCCTTTCGACTACCGAACGTCCCGGATGTTAGTCGGGTGACACTGGAAACGATATTACAATGTTTGGATTAAACGTTCGAATGTTTGAATTGAATGTTCGACTTGAATGTTCAGAATCAACGTTCGAATTGAATGTTGGAATTGAATAATCGAATGTTCGAATCGAATGTTTGGATTGAATATTCGTATTGAATGTTCAGATTGAATAATCGAATGTTTGAAAGAATGTCCAAAATTAAAGTTGGAATTGAATAACCGCTTGTTTAAATTTCATGTCCAAAATGTTGTAACAGGATTTTGCATGCCTGCTTTGAATGTTTCACTTGATTGATTGAATGCGCATTTGATCATAGGTAAATGGAATTTGCGCACTACAAATATTAAACTATTAAACTATTATTATGTTTGGAATGTATGTTTGAATGTTTTGAGTGTATTTTAAACGCCTGACATGAATGTTGCAGTGGAGGGTTCAATGTTTCAATGAAATATTTGAATGTTGCTAGTGAATGATGAGACGCCATATTGTTCAGCTTTACTATGCTCCAGACCATCGGTGGAATGTTGACGGGAATGATTCAGTGCAATTTATATTTATTGACCTACCGTCAAATAGCCTTTGGAGTCCTTTACCCATCCAATGACCACGTCGCTACCGGCCATCTTTCCATTCCCTGACGAGATTCCGAAACCTACCCATCCTGTAGTTGCCGCCTCAACAGCAAAAGACACGGTTTCTTGATCCCAGTCGACGGTCCAGTACAGCTTCATTAACTCTTTCGGATCCAGAGCTGCATAGTGAGCGTACTCAGTAGAGAGAACAGCGGCTCTGGCTGAGACCAGAACTGATAAAACCACTAGCACTGAAGAAGACATTTCTTTTATGCATCCGCACTTAATCGTGACTAAACGGTTCGCAACTGAAAGCTCAGCTGTATGACTCGGGATTACTCAATGCAACCTATGAATAGCACATTACAAACGATTTATTTTCATACGGCTTTGTTCTCAGATCCCGTGCTCAAGTGATGCAGCTAATTAAGGATACTTGAAATTCGTGTTCAATATAGCATTAGTAGCCATTGTTAGCATTTATGGATGCTAATTGAAATAAATCACCCTAAAGAGAGCTTTGTTCGTAATTGTATTTCCAATCGAGAATAATTCCATGAACCTCTCAGCAGGCTGAGAACAGGAGTTAATTGGAAACTTAAAATTTATATTGAATCGTGCATATGGAGTGACCACCGTGGATGAACTAGGAAAACTGCGATTGAAAGAATGATTTAGGCATCAGTAACAATGACGTTAAAACAACGACACCGCTGTGTACAATGACTTACACCAAGGTGTAAAGATACCAGGGCTACAAACAAGGCTACTGAATAGAAATAAACCGAAAGTCAATTATATTCATTCGTGTCTTACTGAGTTGCAAACCAGGAAAACATCACAGTGGTCCTTAACTTCATACGCAAACGTTTTGATGACGTCAATACAGAACTGCTGACATCAGAAATTGTACAATTTGACACAGATTCCGTGTACTTAACACTTTTTGAATGTGCTAACGTCCTCTCTGCCTCAAGTGTTATCTTACTTCATTTCAGCCGGTCAATCAATGCTCGCAAGAGCCATAATTGGGCTCTTGGCATAATTGGGCACTTGGCATAATTATGGCTCTTAATGCTCATTAATCTGTTGCGTGACATATGTTACTCTGGTCCTTAAACCATTTGGGCGAACGAGTGTCTCGAAAACAAAGACCTAGAAAACGCAGATTGTAGACCGCAGACCTCAAAAACTCAGACCTCGAAAAATTTGTTTTCGACATTTGATGATGTAAAAAAAAGAAAATTTTTGAGAGGATATTTAAAACAGCTACTCAGACGTTTGCAAAACGATTTAAATCATCTCGGTTCAAAGTTTTTGTCCACTCGTTACCCAAAGTTAAAATCGTTTTGAAGACAATTGAAACAACAAAATTAAAACTTGTCGGCATTAGCTTTCGTCCAGTTTCGCTCACGTATTGCACATCAAATTGATGTATGGGACACGTATGGGACATCTGATTGATGTTGCCTTTCTCTGATATTGACTTGATGACACTGCATGCTACCACGGTATCGAGAACACCACTTCAATTCATAGTACTTAAACCACCTTATTTTACATTGCAAGATGTTCCTCTCTACTTTAAACCGATAATTCCCGACTCAGTAAAAATTTAAACAAGTAGCGAGAAATCTCTTGGGAATTATGGTGACACACCCGAAGCTATTGCCTGCACGCCTTTTCACATTTGCTTGTACAGGTGCTAATGGCAAGGGATTAGTTTATTCACTTAACTATTTACATATTTCTTAATTAGCGAACTCCCCAAAAAATTGGTGGGCTTTGAGGAACAAATAATATCTTGGAAGAAATGCAAGGGCTTATTTTCGCTACAAACGGAGGCTACTGAGTCGGTTATCCTTCAAACATTTCCTCGCAGCGTGCGAAACGAAACGTTAACAAACAGAGTCGCGTCGACTTTTCAGAAAGACTCGATTACTGTAATTTGGAGCAAAGCTTCTCTCCTCTTCTGTACATAACAACAGCTACACACTCCACTGACTTGAATCAACTCAAAAGAGTCTTTCATTGCATTTTTTTAAAAGATTTAGAAATCACATTGGGGAATATTGTATACTTCCTGCTCTTAACGGAGAAATATCTAATCATGAATATGAATTGACGCCTTAAGACCAATCAAGCGCGTGCGAAACGTGGGAAGTATTATAATTTGTAACTTAAAAGTTAGATTATTGTAATTCTCTCCTGTCTGGTCTTTCACAAAAGCTGATTCCGAGGCTACTGTACGTCCAGAACTAATGAGGTAAGTTTGACTTCGTCAATCCGTTTTGTCAATCAATTTTTTTTATCATTTTATTTTATTAGCTTTGCCAACAATACATATAACCTATAACACAGCCGAATAAAATAAAATAGCAATAACAATAACGGGCAGGCAACCACAACAGCGATAGCCAATTACTGTGGTCCCAAAAGTATTAAAATGGTAAAACGATTACATCAATGATTGATAATTAAGAGCAACCTTAGAGGGTAACCTACGTGTAGCCGCCCCTGTCCCCTCGAGGA